GAGCCCTGCCGCTCCCAGAGAACTTGCTGTCTGGGCGCAAGGCGCAGGGGGCTGGGGGAGCCTGCTCGGCCGGCTCCAAGCTCCGATATCATTTTGAATAAATTGTGTTTGTGGCATTTGGTTTCCTCCCTGGCAATGCTCCATCCATCACCTTTTGGAGAGTTGGGAATTTTGAGAAGCATTTTGCTGCCTTGTTTTTTCATGTTTCTGTTTGTTTTTAGGGTTGTAGGTTGAAACAAAAGCTTTGTTTCTAATATAGAGATGTCTTTAGATAAGGTCTATTCCTCAGTTATGTCCTTTATCCATAGCTAACTATTAGTTTTTGTCTCTGCTACAGGATCAAGCCACTTCTATCTGAGATGAGAGCTTGCAGTGAGTTTGGCTCAGTACCCATCTTTCCATGAATGGACCACAATATTGTTAATGATCCCAAGGCAGTCTTTATATTGCAAAGAAAACGAATTAATAGCAACAGGTATGTCACCTTGGGCATAGTAATAAATTGGCATCAATTACAACATCAGATACAAACTGAATATTAACAATCCCAAAGAGCCAATAAAATACACTCCTTAACTATAGAAAAGAGTTTGATAATTACAGTACAAACACTAAGACAAACCAAATATTGACCTACTATTTACCTACAACAAATAGCTTCTAATTAGAATAACTTTAGCTCTGCTAACTATAGTACAGTATTCAATATCAATAGTATAAATTGAACTTGTTACCTGGAGAATCATAAAGCTTAATAGTTACACTAGTAAATATAGAGGAGCAGGGAACTGGAGAAAGAAAAAAAGGCAATTTAGAGAACTTAGTAGGTGGGATTGAGAGGGAGGAGAAAAAATTGCAATAAGGGGTTCTATGAGGAATAAAAAAGAAACTAATTGTGATAGACAACAGTCACAGGAGAAAAGAAAAAAGAAAGAAAATCAAAAACAGAGCAAAACCACTAAATTAGAAAATGATAAAAAAGAAGAGAAAAAAGTTGAAAAGAAAAGAAAGAAGAGAGAAAGTGAAAGGGAGGGAAAGGGAGAAAACAACACAACACCCCGTAAAAACTTAATGAAGAAAAGATAAAACAAAATAGAACAGTAAAATAAAACATGATTGAGTAAAACAATGCCTGTGTTATTGAATAAGTGGTTTCTTTCCAAGTTCTGCAGTCTTGGGATCCAGCCAGTCCTAATTTCCTGTACGTGGGATTAGGACCTTCTGCTTTTTGAGGTCTCCTCCCTGTATCACAGAAACCTCTTTCCATTCCCCCTGGACTGATTACTGTCCAAAGCAAGGCACATCCTTGGTTCCATTTGTAGACAGGGAATGTGATTGGGCCTCTCATCTATGCTGGATGTAGTCTGCAGAGTGGGGTTTCAAGTGGGCTGTTGGACTTAATATATTTAGAGTTGTGAGTCTCATTGTTCCTCCCAGCTGTTGTCCTTGTCCAGGATCTGGTCTGTTGGTTAGTCTCACCTCTACTGCCTCATGTCATGGGGAAGCAAAATGTAGAGGTGGCTTGGAATTGGTCCTGGTTGCTAGACTAGAAAATGGTATGTACCAGTTAAAATCTGGTTATAAAGAGTATAGATTTCTATGAGAACATCACAGCCAAATAATCTTTCAGTAGAAAGAAATAGTAAATAGATGTTTCCATGTCCAGACATACACATATTTATATCTGTCTGTCTATCTATCTATCTATCATCTATCTATCTATCTATCTATCTATCTATCTATCTATCTATCTATCTGGGGAAGAATACATATACAGTGTTACATTCCACTTCACTCTAAATCCATGGGCTTCATACTGCTTGAATCAGCGAATCATTTGCCAACAATGGGAAAACTGGCTTCCGTTATCTTCCATATATTTATATGTTTGATGCATCTCCCTCTATGTGTGTGATTTCCCTTCATCCATTTCAACCACAGATGCTCTCTTCACAGCCCCTGAGATTCTAACCTATACAGGCAATAGATGCTCATGTCAGGTCACCACCTCTGAGTGGACCTTATTTCACTTTTTTCAGCTCCCATATTCAGGTCAGGTTGCCTCCCACATACATGGGTGCTTTCTCCTATTTTATTTCTGACTTGGAGTCACCATTACTCCCTCATTCAGGTCAATGTGTGGCCATCACTTTGCTGTGCCACATCTAATGAGTTGAGTTATTCAAGAATAGAATGCAAAAGATGGAGGAAACAGACAGCAAAGGAAATGGGAAAACCTTTTACAGCTTCTGATATGGGCTGAGCCTGATGTGTATGTTTAGAATCGTTACATTATCAGTTGAACAATCCGCCATTTTTTATTCAATATTCTTTGTGTTAATACAGTTGAAGATTGACTACAAAGGAATATCAGAAAATCTGTTTCCAAGCTTTCAGGGTAGATGGAATGAAAACATTAAGTCAAAAGTATTATACTGAGAAGTGTAGTTTAGTGTTACAAAAATATATGCTTCAATTATGGTACAAACGCTAATATATCTTCCAAGCAACATGGGCAAAGTCAAAATGGACAACTCTTCCTATCTTTATATTACCAAATTGATTGTTTTCTTATGACAGCCATTCTTTCTGGAGTGAAATGGAATCTGAGGGTTGTTTTATTTTGCATCTCCCAAATGATCAGAGACATTGAACCTTTTTTCATATATTTATTTGCCATTCTAGTTATTCTGAGCAGTGCTTATTCATTTCAGATGCCCATTTATGGATTGGGGCTTTACATTTGGGGAAAATAACAGAAAACTATAGGAAAAATTAAGCTCCACTTAAGGCTTCCTCTCTTGACACAATCTTCAGAAGAACCTCTTTTTCAGGCTGAAGAAGTCCTTGTTTGCTAAACGTTATAGGAATCTGGAAGAATGAAACAAACACATGGGGAAATGACCAATACGGCATCAACTACAGTAGCAAAGTGGAAAGTGTACAGCAAAGACAGTAATTATTTATAAACACATGAAAACTGTCTTAAATACAATATACCTTGAATTGGTTATGTTAATTTTTAAAGGTGTGTTAAGATTGGAATAGTGAAAACATTAATCCATCTGTTCATTTAAAAACCACTTCATGAACACCTGTTCTGTAACAGGTCTAAGACAAAATTCTGTTGAGTTTTTTACTTTGTGTATATAATTTAATGTAGATACCATATGTTTGAAAATTTAAACCTAATCCCTAGACATTGTGACAACCAATCTTTTGAAAGTCATAAAAAGTTAATTTAGTGTTTGTTGAAACCTACAAAGAAACACTGAGCAAGTATCATCAAATATATGGGAAGTCCTTCACTCCTAGAGTCTGGTCAGTTCTGCCATGTAAACCTACTCAGTTTGACAATGGGAAGAAGCCTTGACAACAATTATGCTCTGCTTTGCTTTCCTTACATCACCTCTTGCCTTTGAGTGATAGTGTAAATGGGGAACTTCTGAGTCCTATAATTTTTTAACTAATTATGTATGCAATTATCACTAGTCACATCCTTCAGTTTTGGGGAGGCTCCAACACAGTAACCTTCTGATCTCAGTACAAGGAGAGGAGGCAAATCCTCATGAAGTGTGAGAAATATTACCTGAGAAGACTGGGAGCTTATAGAAAATATCTGCCTCATTTCAGATATGCCAGAATGCACTATATCTCAGAGTTAAGGCACTTTATCTACACCTTCATAAAATCTACACAGTTGGCCTGAAGCCACAAATAAAATAAAAACTAACTCTATTCTCATCTGCCATGCAGAAACCCTCCTGACACAGAGGAGTTACTTAATCAGTGCAGGAGTCTTGGAAATAGACCACTGTCATGAGGGATCTTTCATAAGCTCTGATAAAGAGAGCACCATTCAAACATCATGACAATGTGATCATTCCACTTTGTAATTGTTCACAACATGTCCCATCTGCAGGTCACTTAAAACTGATTTTAAGAATTACTAAGGTACAAAGAGAACACATATAATTATGCCATACCAACTTGCAGAGAGTTTAGAAGATATTTTACACTTTGTCTTCATATAGTCACATATTTAAAACTCTAATAGCAAAGGACCTTAAAGTTGTATAAATGGCCCCAACCCATAGAACAAAGGAATAAATAATGTGCAGCCATATACTTTTATTTAAATAGTACCCTAGGTTTAGTAAAAAATCTATTGGTCAGTCATTATTTGTACAGAAATATTTGTCTCACCTGTGTTTCTTTACATGTTTGGAAGGAGAAGTTTTGTAAAACTCTGATGATAGCAAGTTTCATGTTTATGAGAGCGAACCTCATGCCAATGCAGTTTCTGGGTCCAGTCCCAAAAGGCAGGTATATGTAAGGATTAATATCATCCTTATTTTTCTTACTGAACCTGGTTCCATAATAGTACATGAAAAAGAGTTAATAAACATAAATACTCTCTTGACACAGTTGTATACAGAAGACTTTGTTGGACAAACATTGAAAGCCCACTTTGCTTTTCTATGAGAGTTGCAAGCTATACATCTTTTCTATTTGCTTTCCTTTACAAGAGTTTCCAATCTTGCTGACACAAGATAAATCTGTGCAAAAAACTAATCTTTCAGTAAAAAAATGACATTCCTGTCCAGTAGGAGACATTACAGCATACTTGGAACAGACTACATCAGGATGGGTTTATGTTCCCAGGAGCCCTTTACCTTTCAGGGCGGAACTCCTCAGGCTCTTTCCAGTATTTGGGATCTCGATGAAGAGCATATATTGGTATCATCACCAGGGACCCTTTGGGAATGACCACTCCGTTGATTTCAACATCTTTCTTACAAGTCCTCTCAAGTCTACCAGCAATTGGGTATAATCTGAGAATTTCATTCACCACCATATCCAGATACTCCATCTGTACTAGCGCATCATAGGTGGCAGGTGTCTGGGAAGAAACAGATTTTCATGAATTGTGTTTTGGTATGTTCACACTCAGACTATGCAGTGCTATTAAATTGTTAGGAAGTCCGAAGAATAACCCGTGTTGGTCAAGGACCTTAACATTGGCAAAGCATTTGAATAACTATCAATTTTGTTGACCTGCTTAGTGGCCCATTGAGAACTGTAGAGTAACTATGCATATGAGAGAGATTTGGGACATATTGCAGCCCAGTCCATAAAATCCTCAACATTAACATGTATTGCTTTTCTTTCTCATGGGAAAATACATGGCAAATATATTGTAACAATTACACTCAAGGACAATATGCTGAAGTCACTGTCTTCTTTTAATAGAGAGGATACATGCCTATAGTAAGGCAATAGAAGTTGCAAAAGAGAAAATCCCTTAGTTGAAAATTCCTGTATGTTTGCTTTTGATTATATTGAAAAAAATTGCAGAACACTATAGCATATAAGAACAGCATAATTACCCTTTTCATCATATGTAAAAATTGATAGCACTATATAAAACTCTATATATAATTTGGGGGATAGCTAGTACCTACTTTCCCAGTGTGACATAAGTCACAACTGGGTGCTATGGGGCACACAATTTCAGTTCTATTGTGAAGTTCTAAGAAGGATAGAACCCACACTCACCTCAACCTCTGTGGTTAGAGCAGTCTCCTGCTTGGTGCTTCAGGGCTTCACTGTGACCTGGGAAGAGCATGCTCTATACCCACCTCACTGCCTAACCAGCCATGTCAGCCCCAAGTCTTTTTACTGCACAAAACATCAGTTTAGGCAGAGATGTGAAAAACTGTGGGAACTATGTGGTTATCAATTGGTGTGACAATGGAGAGGCCTTATTTTATAGGCCAAGTGCTTGAGTCAGGAGCCAAATACCCTGGTTCACAACTTAGTGCTCACCTCTAGCTCTATAGGTGTAACATGAGGATTTGTGTACAGAACTGAATCACCCAGCCCACTCTAGCCAAGGTCAGCCTCGCTCAGAGTAGATTCAGGCCAAAGTATGTCCAATAATATCAGTAGAGTCAACTAATCAGACACTTGACTGAAAATGCTCATAATTCTAGAGTGTTATAACTAGAGCATAATTTTCCAGAGCATAATTTTCCTACTAGATATTATTATCATAACAATGAATACAAGGGATTGATGTGCTTTAATGAAGATATTTTATTTCTATGAATAACATGTATGACATACATTTTCTTCTGCATTTCTTTCTGTGTATCATTTATTAATAGAGTGGAGAAAACAATCAATGCTTAAATTTTTGGCAACAGTTCTCCTATAAAGTGATTTTATGGCTTGTATCTAGATGCCCCCTGTCAAAGTCTCATGCATGGATAGATGGGGCTTTTAGAAGCTGGCTGTATCTAGGGCTTGTGGTATTTGGAGTAAGAGTTCATGGTACTAAATTAGTCCACTGAGTGGTTTAGCATAGTTCTGGGTGTGGATAATGGGGAAGCCCACCCTCTGTGTGTGTGGCACCACTCCAAAGGCTTGTAGCCTGGATGGGATAAAACAGAAAAGGAGGATTACTGCTTCTACTGCTTCTCACTACCTCCTTCCTGCCCTGTCATGGACTGTTTCTCCTCTGTCATACCACCCTGCCTTGGAACCAGCTGCCTATGCACAGAAATCTCTATACACTGTGAGCTGAAATAAATCTTTCATCCCTTAACTTGTAGGTGTTAAGTATTTTGGCACAGCAACAAGAAAGTGACCAATACAGATTTTGCTGTGATACTACCAGGCCATGTGGTTCAGGAGCCTTTGGAAGTGGCTTGCAGGACGAGTATGTAAAGATTTAGAGATACTGGCTGAAGAAGCAGTCCTAAAATGCTGTGATCCAAGCTTGATGGGAGATTCTGCTCAGTGCTCAGAAGACCAAAATGCTGACTGATATGCAGCTGGAAAAGACCAGGCTCAAGATGTTTCAATTGGGAAGGACTCTTGGCAGCTGGACTTCAAATCACGTGTGTTATGCTATCTCTGTTACTTTTCTCTTGCTGAGACAAAATATCTGACACTCAAAATTAAGGAAGTAAGGGTTTATTTGGCTCACAGTTTATGGAGGTTTCGGTCCATAATCAGCTGGCTCCAAAGCAGGGTGGCATGGGTCAACAGTTTAAGGTGATAGAAGGCAGGAAAATCAGCAAGAGCACAAAAGGGGGAAGAGCAAACCTCTTTTCCTCCCTTACATTGTGTGCAGGGTACCTGTCCTCTGGTGGGTGTGGCACTCACACCATCTGTTCTTGCCCAGGCTCAGGGTGTTTACAAACTGAGGACCCTGGCCTCCTGCTGAATTAAACTTCTAAACTTCTCAAGGTGACACAGTGTATCAACTATAACATATGCCCTGCCTGAAAATTTTTCTGCATTTTTCTCCTGTGCAGGGATTTTGTCTGAGAATGAGATTAAGAGTGGCAGACTGAAGAATCTGGAAAAATGTTTTGAGGTAGTCTAATGTTGAGGCATGTCTACTGTTGGGGACATTTACAGATTTATGCTGAGAAGCAAGAGCAAAAAGCCCAGCAGAATGATTTAAAAAGTTTTGCATTTGGTCAGAAGGGAAACTCTAAAAATGGTGCAGACTGCAAAGTATAGAAGAGAAGAGTTTTGTTCTGAAAGGATTGACATTAAAAAGCCAAGTACTTTGAAACTCAACAATAGAAAAGACGGCTTGAGGGCATCACAAAAACCAATAGGCGTCTAACATTTGCAATATCAAAATTTTAAAAGTGAAAGACTTTGCTCTGAGAAGAGAATCCCAGAGCACCATGTTCCAGAATGGCAGCAGACATTGGCAACCACGTGGTGCTGGTTTTAGGTGCATCAGAATACAAGAGTTGTGTGGTCAGGAAGGCTTCTACCCAGATTTCAGAAAAATGCCTAGGAGGCTAGACAGTTTATTCCTGAGAGGGCAGTGTGTGAAGCTGTGAGTGTGAAGTTGAAGGTGGAGTGGAGACTCCAGAAGGTTGGAGATGCTAGAAATGTGGATCCTTTTTAGAGAACCTCAAGGAGTGAGCAAAGTCAGCTCAAGAGAGAAGCCATGAGAATTATAACCACTAACAATGACATAAGGGCAGAACCACACCAACCTTTTGGAGTTCACATCACAGATTGCCCTGAATGGTAGACAAGGGTCTACAGGATTTAATGTTTGCTCTGCTGGATTACGGACTTGCTTTTGTTATGTCTGGTGGATCTGGGATCTAAGGGTCACCAGAATTACCCTCTTTGGGGTCTGTCTCTGAGATGTAGAAAGAGAAAGAGGAGTCAGAGAAGACCAGTGCAAAGTCAAAGAACTTTTGTTATAGGTATTGCAAGAAGTGGTTCAAAGCCACTCTGGTGAAGGAGTAGGAGTGCTCAGAACTGAGTCACCACTGAATCTAGTGCTGTAATCTTGTTTTACGTGGTAGGGGTCCCATTTCTGACCCCTCCAGGATTGATGATTGATTGGATATTGGACTTGTTACTAGGTTTGATCTTGTAGGATGATAGGGGAATTTGAGTTGGCATGGCAACCTGCACTACAGTGTTGCCTGCACAGAGGCTGGTGTCAAAACTACACGCTGTCATCTTCAAACCACAAAGCTGCTTGAAAACTGCTTGCTGCTCACAGCCACACAGAGCCTGTATTTCCCAACCTCTAAAAAGGGCCTATGTCTGTCTCTACATTTGGGTCCCATTTTTTTCTATCCCTCTATTTGGAATGGGAACGTTTATCTTTTGCCACTGTATATTGGAAATGTTTAATTTCTTTTTTCATTTATACAGGGGCTTCCAGCTGAGACTTTTTCTTTGATCTCAGAGGATATTTTGGATTTGGATCTCTCAGAAATGCTGAGGCTGGTAGGAGTTTGACAACTTCTAGAAGTGGAATAAATATCTTTTGCATAAAGGGATGTGCATGGAGCTCCAGGAGAGGAATATTATGGCTTGTATCTAGATGTTCTCCAAAGCCTCATGCATGGATAGTTGGGGATTTTCAGAGCTGGCTGGATCTAAGGTATGGGATTCTGGGATTAAGTGTGTGTCGTACTAAATTAGTCCACTAAGTACTTTTGCATAATTCTGGGTGGGGTGTGGATAATGGGAAGGCCCATGCTGAGTATGAGTAGCACCATCTAAAAGGCTTATAGTCTGGATAAGATAAAACAGAAAGGGACTTCTTTACATTTTCATTTTCTCACACCAGAAAAACCATGTGATATTTACACATGTGTGTCCAATTTATTGCTCTTAAGTATGGCCTCAAGGTGCATCAGTTTACCTGGAAACGTCTCAAGCTTATCTTTCTTTATGGTGGAGTAGTACTCCATTGTAAAAAATCATGTCTTCTTTACCCATTCATCAGGTGATGGGCAATTGGGCTGCTTTCAAGATTTATCTATTACAAACTGTGCTGCTATAATTGTGGGTGTGCATATATCATTGCGGTATGATGCTTTTAATTCTTCTGGGAAGATACTAAGAAGAGGAATGCCTCAGTCAATTTTTTTTTTTCCCAAACTGTGAGTTGTGTCTTCACTCTGTTAGTGGGTTCTCTTGTTATGCAAAAGCTTTTTAAAAAGATGAAATCTCAGTTGAGTCTTTGTGATATTTTCTGTGTGACTGGGTTTTTGTTCATAAAGTCTTTGCCTGCAACAACGTCTTCAAGTATTTTCCCCTAATTTCCCTAATTTCTCTCTCAGTGAGTTTGTTATTCATGGACTGGAAGGCTGTTGATTTTTGAGTGTTGACTTTGTGTTCAGGTATGGTACTGAATTTGGTTATTAAATCTAGCAGTTTTTTTGGTGAGGTTTTTGGGGTCTTCTGTGTAGAGAATCATGCCATCTGCAAATAATGATAATTTTTCTTCTGCATTTCCTATCCTTATTCCTTTTATTTCTTTCTTTTGTCTAATATCTCTGGCTAATGTTTCCAGAACTATATTGAAAAAGAGTAGTGACAGTGGGTATCTTTTCCTTGTTCCTTATTTTAGAGCAAACACTTTCAGTTTTTGTCCATTTAGTGTACTTTTGAGGAGGGGGGGAGAGGGAAAGGAAAGAAGGGAAAAAATGAGAAAAGGACAAAATTGAAACAAAGCTTTGTAAATAAGGAGGGAAAGATGCGTTGATGGGAGAGTAGGGGAATGGGAAAAAAAGAATCAAGATATATCATGTACAGGTACAAATTCCCTATAATCAATGTGATCATTATGAATACCTAAAGTGTACAAATAAACTTTATTAATAAAAAAAGAAAACAGAAAAGGAGTCTTCTTGCTACTTCTGCTCATTCCTTCCTGCCTTTCCTGCTGTGGACAGTTTCTCCCCTGTGATGCCCCAGTGCTATGCCACCCTGCATGGAGCCAGCTGACTATGGACTGAAACCTCTACAAACTATGAGCTGAAATAAATCTTTTATCTTTTAAATTGTGGGTGTCAGATATTTTGTCCCAGCAATGAGAACGTAACCAAGATCATGAATAAGTGTTATTTGAAAAACTTTAATGCTTCCCTCCTTCTCTAGGTACCATCCACTCACCTTATTGGGCAAAATTGTATCAATCTCCTGTTGTAGTTTCTTCTGGATGTCAGGATGAGTGGCCATTGTGTACATAACAAAGGAAAGAACACTGCTAGTGGTTTCATAGCCACCAAAAATAAAGATAATTGATTGGGCCACGAGTTCCAGGTCAGACAGAGCTATTGTGAGAGGAAATACATTTTAATGAAAGTCAGCCAATGTGGAATACCACAGCTTAGATGAAGAGATATGCAAATATAATTCATAAATACCCACATAAAAATGAACAAGGAATTTAGAGGTCCACTGCGAGTGATTTTCACTTTTTTATCTATCTGATAGGGACTGAAAAGGAAGAATAATTTTAATTCAATTTCTCAAGATCCACAGGGCTCTTGGCTGTTTGTTCCTCATTATGCCAACCTCAGCATCAACACAGAGGAGTAATTTCAAGAGATATTATTTCTATGTAATTACAAAGTTTAAGTAGTGTGTCCCTTGAACAATCATAAAACTAGTTTGTATGTGTAACAATACTGATGGCATTCTCACTCTCAATAATAATATAACTTATCCTAGTTAAAAAATAGCTGGAAACACGTTGAAAGGATCTTTAATACTAAGTAATCACTGTAGGGGAAATGTAACATCTAAATATGTTAGAGGGAACTTCAGGAAAAATTTAGGGGGGGGTCAGTGAAACTTCTGGTACTTAGTGTGTGGTCCATAGACACTCAGGATCAGCTGCATCTAGAAGCTGATTAGAACCATAGAGTCTTAAAGCCACCTCAGATCTATCGCATTAAATTCTGAACTTTCACAAAATGTGGTGATCTGTATCCACAACCTAGCTCAAATAGCAAGCTGTCAGAGGCATCAGAGGAATACCTGGGCACCACTCTTCAAAATAGGTGATTTCAGATTGTACAGAAACCATACAGGTAGGAAGCAGGTAGAATTGCGGTGATTGACCCTTGTCTAACAAATGGTATTAGAGTAACAAAAGAAAGAATGTTTGAGTAGAAAGCATTGGGCATGAAGTACGAGGAAAATGTTGAGCAAAATTAGTAACACTATTCAACCATGACCAGATGTTCCCTCTCTCTGCTTAATCTCACAACAGCCTTTGTGATAGACATTGTTCTTCTTGAATTTCTCCTGAGAGAAGCTAAGAACAGTCAGGTAATGGTCTTATCGATCAGGGAATGGATTAGGAAGTGTACATATCCAAAGCCTTGAAATAAACACTTTACCTGCTGCAATCATAAAATTCATAACTAAACACAGTACAAAATGAGGGCTTGAGATGTTTACAGAGTTCTGTTTTCTTAATCACGGTAATGGTTTTTGTAATGATACTGAAGAAAATTCTACTAAAATGTCATTCTTCCAGTGAGCATGAATTTCAAAAAATGAATTTGAATTATAAAGTCAAACTTTAGAACTCTGCTGTCCACTAGTCTCAAGAGAATATTTAAATTTTAATTAAAACTGAATGCAACAAAGACCCCTGTGACACTGCAGTCTGAGTTTCTAGGCGCAGGGAGGCCCAGGGGACGGGCGGGGCGAGCAGGCCCTCGGAGCCGGCCGAGCAGGCTCCCCCAGCCCCCCGCGCCTTGCGCCCAGGCAGC